TTATCCTTATCCTTAGTTAACTCAATTAATTTGATCAACCTATATTTTTGTATTTATGTACGATTCGGGATATTAGCGTTTTAATTTATATTACACCTCAGGCTACACACATTCTCATGGTCATTCATTTTTTTTTTTGCATCTCTATTGTTTCTTTTCCGGAATTAAGTGCATAGTTTTTTTATCGGAGACGATATGCAAAATTTTTTGTTTGCTTTTGTTTTCATTTTTCATCTTTGAGTAATATTCTTAGTTGCATTTGTTTAAATATTTCGGGTTGGTACTTTAATTTTCAATTAATTAATTTTTTGAGTTCCCAATTATTTGCCAGACGGTTGACTCGCTCACCGCGCGTAAGTAAGGGCGAGTGATTAGGAAGGCAAACAAAATAGTCTCCCGACCTCAAGAGGGACGCATATGCCCATATGTATGTATGTATGGTTAGGGTTGTGTATATTTATGTTCCACCCCCTTTTCAGAAATCCTCTCAACGTGTTGGTACCATCATCGTGGGAGAGCTAAGGTGAGTGGAAAACTGATTTTATTACATATATATATATACATCTATATACATACCTAAATATTCATATACTTAAGTTTTCAGTTTTATGGTGATATTCGCTGTTTTTTTTTGAAAATACCTTGCGTTCACTGTAATACGTACATACATGCATATATTTATATATCAGTATGTGTATATATAAGCATTTATTTTAATTCCGCAGACAAAAGGGGTTTTCAAAAAGACATACTAGTGTGAAGAGATTCAATGATTAGAATTGAAGTTTTTGAATTTTCATATTTGAAGAGTTTTTTATCTTTGTTTCAATTTCCATTTACTTGTATTTTTTTTGCTAATTAGTTTATATATATATATATATATATATTATTTTATTTTTGTTGAATTTGTATATCTACATGGATCCACATCTTTGAAGTTTTTTTTGGGAGTAAATTCTTGAGTAACTCAAGTCGACTAGTCATTTCCTTCTTTTATATAATTAGCTTTAGCCTAAATTTAGGAACATATGTACTCGGTTATATTGCGAATGTGAATGTATAAATATAGAGAGACATAAATGAATATCTCCATGGAATTTATAATTGGCTGAAGGATTGTTTACGTAGGATGAAGTGGTGAAGGGCCATATTTGGTGTGGGTGTTACACCTGAGCTTAAGAGGGGACGAGAGACCCCTCCTAATGACAGGACAGAGGCAAGACAGATAGAGGAATAGACTGACGGACTATGTCAGGCAAAGGGGGCGCTGCAAATAGGTAGGAGTCGGCGCAGCGCCCATGGCTGCGTATGTAAGGCACGCAGAGGGGGTGGGATGACTCCACCTGACGGGACGGGCCTCCTCTTTCAGCTTTCTTTCGTCTTTATTTGGATTCGCTTCTTGTTACGTTTAGCTTCCCAAATCAGGCATGACTACTTTGTTTGTTTGTGTTGGGGTAGGTGACGCAGGTGAGAACAACCCCCCCATCCGGCGAGCTAGCATGGGCTGGAACTACCATGCCTGAAAACCCACCTTGCCGCCACCTACAGGCACCCCACATAGCAAAGTTTCTAATTTTTATTAAGGTAATTAAAAAATAGAGAAAAAACTATAGTTTTTATTCAAATAATAAAAAAGTTATTTTTAGATATTTTCCAATTTGGTAGATCTTTCTCAAGTGGATGGTAAGTATTTTTTTTGTCAGTGCCACCCCTGCCGTCAGTCTCTTTTCGGTAGTTTTTATTTTATGTTTTATTGTATTTGGAAGGTATTTACCTTATTTCCTTATACCCTTGCAACTCAAAACTCTACACAATTTTTGAAACTTATTTACAGTATATTCCGCTTAGCTGCCTATTCGCTTAGGTGCATTTTCCGCTTACGTGCACATTTTTGCCAAAATACTGCTTCATGAAATGGATTTTATAAAATTTTCACTTTGAGCTACATTTCCCCTTAACTATACCCTTTTCCGTTTAACAGCCCTTTTTTGAGTAAGTTTTCTTCGATTTGTATTTACAAAAAATACTTCGCTTACCAGTACTAAAATTTAGCATATTAATTAATTCATTTTCGTAGTTCACAAGGTGCTGAAGATGACATCTCTTCGAATTCAACAGCAATCGTGCATTCTACTGGTTACAGGGTTTTTTTTCGGATACTTATAGCCATAATGATTATGACTTAATTCAGGTTTTATCTAATTTGTAACTAGAAACCAAGTTCGTTCTAAACAAGTAATTTTTAGCGAAAAAAACTGACTTAAAAAAATATATATATATCTATATATTTCATGATTCAATGATCGGATCTTAACCAAATTAGTATGGGACCACCTCGACGTGGTCCAAAGTTATGCGGTAACATACATACATAAAAAAAAAAAATATTCCGACGAACTGATAACCTCCTCCTTTTTTGGAAGTCGGTTAAAAATGCCTTATTTGTTTTCTACTTGAAAGAAAGGTCATTTAAGTTACTTTAAATTATGCCCACAATTTGGGAAAATACTCAAGTGCATGGGTAAATATTTGGGTATTTTCCGGTAAATACCCAATTTACCAATTAACTTTTTACCCATGTCTCATCACTAGTGTGGATTGATTGAGTATTCCCCCTTCTTTCTTTTATCCTTCCATGCATGAGAGAATCACAGTTACAGTGTCTCTTTGCTTTAAAGCTTGCAGAAGATCGGCTTTAATATTAGGGTGCTAAATTGTGCAGATTTGTGAAACCCAGAAGGTTTGAGGACATAAAATTTCCAGCTCGGCGGCTTTCACGCCCACTGGCGTAGTATCGCAGAAGTAGAGGTCAAAGTGGGGTTTCAATAGGAACTCAAGTTACATGAACAAACAAAAAAAGGCGCTCGATGACTTCTATTTGTGTAAAAGAGTGTGCATTTAAGGTTGACTCAAAAGTGTTGCATTTTACTATAGATGCTTAAAAGCCTATTTAGTGGTTTCTATTTTGTACTTACCTATTTAAACCATCAATGCAGACACCAAAAACGCAAGGATTACTGAGGCAAGCGAAACCAGCTTGGCCACAACCGAATGCGGCCAATAGGCAAAGTACCGGCAACAACCAAACAAAGCTGGATGCAAGCGTAGTACTAGTAGCAGAGTTGTTGTTGTTGTTGTTGCTATTGGCAGTAGATTTTGATGTAGCGCGACAACAAAACTGCTCAACTGTGGCAAATAGCTGGAGAGAAACTGTAGCCCATGAAGCAGCTGTGGATGCTGTTGGTATTGCAGGTGTACAGCTCATCGGTGTTGTAGTGGACGTTGCTGTTGTTGTTGGGGTCACATAGTTTGCTGGCATTGTGGTGGCAACATGGGGTGGGCGTGTGCTTGGACACTCAAATGCAGATTTTAAACTTTTTATAGTTGACCTTTTAGTCTTGGGAGCAGATGTTGTTGTTGTTGTTGGGCTTACTGCTGTTGTTGTTGTTGTTGCTGCAGCTGATGCTTTTGTTTTCTTTGTTGCACAAGTCCATTTCATTAAAACATTCTTCGCACCCACTTTGGAAGTCATTGACTTCGCAGCAGCATACCGCAGCTGACCGCCGACTGACGGAAGTGGTGACTTTGCGGATGCCGTGGTGTGTGTTGCGGGCGTTTGCTGCAAATTTCCATCAAGCAGCGTGATGAGCAGCTGACTTTGCTGGCGACATTGTTGCTGTTGCTGCGGTTGCCTGGCTTGTTGTTGGCAATTTTGTTGCTCCGCATCGACCACTTCCTGATCTGTCGAGTGTAAGCCGGTTGATTTCTCAGCTTGCGTTGCTTGCTTGCTTACCACATGTGTGTTGTTGATATGGTTGTAGTTGCTTTTTGTCCTATTTTTGTTACGCAGTTGTTGTCGGCATGCACTACTGGTCACATCAGCTTCAACTTCAACTTCCACTTCAGCTACCCCACTCACAACATTGTCACCCTGCAGCACCCGTCCCTCCAACATCCTTCTCAGAGTTCGTTGTTGATCCTTGTTGCACGGCACCATATATTGCGGATATTTTGCGTGTTGCGTGCCAA